GAAGTTATTCTCTCTGTGTAAGCGTAGTGCACGTCAATCATCCAGATGACACTACGATCGCAACGTCATCTAGATAGAGGCCATTTTATCAGCGCCGGGCGCCCGTTGCCTACACCAGAGCTTCCTGATCTGCGAGCGAGGCGATCCGCGCTGCCACTTGCGTGAAGCATGCTGGCGGCGCAGTTTGACCACGGTTGGGGGGGGGGCATTTTGCACATTTGCTACTTCCCATTGACGTGTCGACCTATCTAGACGACAGGTTTTAACGTGATGGTGTGACTTTGTTCAAGCTTCACAAGGGTTCACAGGTTTCGCTAGAGTGAGACATATAGACCGGAACTAAAAAAGCTATGATAATACATAATGCCCCCCTTCGTCAAACTGCACCCGAGCTGACTTATGGTTCAGTGTTTTACCACGCGTATAAGGTACAGTATATCGTCGCAATTAGTCTGGGCGGTTACAAGAGGGATGGGATGAACCCACTCATTTGTCTTCCACCACTAGTTTTAACTCCTAACGATCACCGAATTATCACTATTGGTAGAAAAGGCAGCCGCGGGCGTCCCCCAAAACCGTCCCGACTGTTTCGACGATATTAACGATAACCTCAGCATCTTGCCTACGTTTACCGTAGCACTTTCGCGTCAAACCATGGGGAAATGCTACGTTACTTTGTTGAAATCAGCATTAGAGGCAAAATTTACTCAAACTGCTTCTAAAAGAGAGTACGTAGATTGATTTTGCACGAAAGGTTTGAAAATTGATGACAGTTCAGGTTTAAACTATGTCTCGTTGTCTGTCTCGAACTCTCTCCTCACGAATGATACGTCCATGATGCCCACTATTCTTTTCCGTCCGATCACAAGAAATGGCAGTTTGGGGAACGCAACATTGGTGGCAACATCAGCAAAGAGTTCAACTTGCGCTTACAGCTACTTCACGGAACTGAATTGCACGCCGGACATCTTCGGCTACCAGGCTCAGGTGACTGTTTGAGCTACTTCTGTATGGGGCTCGCAGGAATGATTGTAACCATTTTGTTGTACCTTTCAGATCCAGACTTTCTCACCACGTTCTTTGAAACGGCAGCAGCAAGTAACGATGGTGTGCCTTCAACTCGGTAAGTCAACGTCACGCATACGTGCGTCCTCTGAACAGAGCCGCTTCAGAGTTGGTACGGGCTGAAATCACTTCAGATTCTTGCAAGAATGACGGGCAACTTGTCGATGGAGCGTGTGTATGTAATGGCTGGGAAGGTGCAGACTGTGGATTACCTATCTGCTCAAATGGCGGTACTAGAGAAGGGGGTGTATGCATCTGCTCTCCGAACACTTTCGGAGTGTTCTGCGAGCGTAAGTGAATTTTTTCCTTGGTTTATGTCATTGGCATTCAGGCGTCACTGCAATCTGCACTATTTCTACGGCAGGGCACATCGTTGTTGGGGAATCCCCAATAGGGGGGGGGGTCGTATTTGGGTTGGGAAAAATTTATTTTGATAGTTGATTTTTCTCGCTTCAGACGCTGTAAAGGGGGGCGGGTCGTACTTCGCCATTCTTGGGAGGGAGGGGGGTCGTATTTATGTTTTGGCGTTGCAGGAAGAGGTGACTTTTTTGGGGTGATTTTTTCCTGTTTCATGTTGTTGTTGCATGTTGTTCCTGCCCCCTCCCCCCTCCCCCCCTCCCCCCCCCGCTCGACAGCAAAATTTTTGGTAAAAAGTAGGGAAGTTTTCGGGAAATTTTGGAAAAAAGGGGCAGGAAGTTGGGGAAAATCTGATTGTAGAGAGGGGGGTCGTACCAACTCCCAAAAAAAGGGGGGGGGTCGTATAGAGTCGACTAAAATCCCCAACCAATGATGTGCCCTGTTCTACGGTCCTTTTCCTTTCACAAAAATCACGACTGACTTTTTGTTCAGTGATCGCTCACGGTGCTCTTCACCAGAAGCAAGCCTTTTCCTAGAGACACCTTCAGCGAATATGTGATAGATATAGTCTCTCTTGTATAAGTAGTCTGGTCGGAGGTTCCGCAACTTTCGCGAATTCGCATTGAGTGGGGAGGGAGCTGTCCATCGTCACAAGTGAAGACATTGCCAACCGTTGAAACTGCCTCACCCATCTCACCAGTGAAACGAGATTTAGATCAATTTGCAATCACGAATTCCTTGTTTGGACCTAATATTCAGCGGAGTAAGCATAGGAACACGCCCACGCGTCAGGACCCAACCTGCTGCTTATATGAAATCTCATCCTTCATTCCCTTCCTTTTTCTTTCATTTCCTTCCTTTTCCACGGCTCAATATGTGGTTCTTTGAATGGTTTTCAGTACCAACTGCCGACCAGCTTCATGCCACCAAGCTGTCCAAATTCGTTCTAGTGAGCGAAAACTACATACTTTTATGTTTTCCCGAACTTCTTGGCGCTGCTTCAGCCTTAGCGCACCGTTCCAGCTCTCACCCAAAAACGATAAAAACGGCTAGATGATAAAAATCACGAGAGAAAAGAGTGACGATAAAACAACCGTGATGAAAGTGGCTGAACTCAGAGAAATGTATTTGATCCCTAAAAGCCCTGATCAATCAGAAAAGAGGCAGAACTGGCGTAGGTGGCAGGGCACTGTTCGATAATCAAGCTCCTTGGTCGACTCCCGCGCAGGCCAGAAAGATAAAGTACACTGATGACTTGTACACCTGGGGGCTACCACTTTTCATGCTTAAAGGGCATGTAGCATAAAATGACTCTTGCGATTACGAGTGGAAACTAGAGTGCGTGCTCCATCCTGTGAAATAAGTGGTCAGCGGTTAATCCAACGGATCGCATCCAACGGCTTCAAGACCGCTCGCGTGAATTGTGCAGTGGTCCGCCACTTTCAAATGGTTTGATGAATCATTGCTGTGCTATCTAGAAGAAGAGGTCATTTTTACATTTTCTTCCAGTGAACTCCTGAAGTATCTAATATTTCTGCGATTCTGAAGCGGGACTCCTGACCCCCAGTAACCCCTAGTAACATGTGACTATAACTCATTTCTTATAAAGATTGAAGAAGAAATGAAGAAAAATGAAAATGATGAATGAAGAAAAGTCTTCCAGAAAAGCAGCCGCTTCACTTCGCGTTCATTCTGGATTCTGTTGGCATAGATGACACAGCTTACAATTCATCAGTTGTGAGTTGAATATAAAAACTTCTCAGTACTCTCTCACCATCATTGAATGTAAAAGTGCTGTAAGGCTGTGGCACAAAAGCCACTGAGCTGAAAGCTACGCAGCATTACTTCCCAGTCGCGGCGAGTGCGACGAAAAGAGGCGTTGCAAGCGTGGTGACATAGTCATCGCATCAGGACCCGTAATACTCCGCGTAGCAGTGCTGTGGGGCTACGTGACCCCTAAAACTTTTGGTGGGGGTCCCGCGATAGGGCAGAGCGCAGAGCAATAAAGAACTGCGAATGCCAAGGCATCGTGTGGTATAAAAAGATGACGTGATCCAGAAGATGAGTTTTTACCAAGGGAGGCAACACCGGGGTGGATGAGCCACTTAATATGCCTTGAAAAGTTGGTATGTGAAAGGTCAGAGTGGTCACAAAGCGCCATTCAGGCAAGAGAGCGCTGAGAAAAACAGAAAATTGAAGGAATTGAGTTCTAGTTCTCCTTAGACCGTGCGTGTTGGCATAATCCGGTTCTCTCTTTTCGGGGTCGACGGACAACTTGAAACTCAGATCCCTTGAGGGCAGCGTTCTACTTGTAGCCGCCCTACAGCGGTCGCGCTGCAGCGTCGCGCCTGGCCAGCCGTCGCGCTACAGCGTCGCGCTGGGGGGATACAGCGTCGCGCTGCAGCGTCGCGCTACAGCGTCGCGCTACAGCGTCGCGCTGCAGCGTCGCGCTACAGCGTAGCACTACAGCGCCGCTTCGCAATGTACTGCAATTTCCAACGTTAGGATGATTAGAGTTGCTTACAGAGATAAGTGAGAAGAGGTTGCTGGAGTTTTCTTGAGAAATTCACGGAAAGGTGAGACTGATACAGCTGTAACTATCTGACCATCCTTGACAGTTACTCCATTAGTCACTATTTTTCTGGTACTGCTTTTAGCGTAACAGTGTCCTTCTGTCCTATTAAGAGCATTTTCTGCAAAAAACACCCAAAGAGTACTCGCGCCACCTAAAAACACGCACGCATGTTTTTTTTACCGGAGACAGAAGAACCATAAAGGAACTTCTTGTTTGCCTTGTGTTAACGCATTGGTGACCAGACAGTGTTCGCGTGCCTGTTGTGGGAGATAAGGCCATTTTTACGCTCCTAGGCCAAAAAAAGTACAAGAAACTGTCAAAGCTTTGTTGGCTGTGAATGCCTCGAAAACCGGCATGAATCTTTTTCCTGTGATCCAGGCAGAGATTGGGGGCAAATTTGAAAAGCAGATTTCGCTCCATAATCCATAAGCGGCATTGGATTCTGTATTCATTCTTTCTGTATTCAACCCTCTTCTCTTTGTTTCATATTTATTACCTTCCCACTTTTCTCTGTAAAGCAACTAAATCACCCTACATTGGAAAATTGCAGTACCGTTGCGAAAGCGGCGCTGTAGCGCGACGCTGCAGCGCGACGCTGTAGCGCGCTACAAGTATGAACGCTGCCTGAACGCGTCGATCTTCTCTTTTTCTCTGCACTCTCTCGTCCGCATGGCACTCTATGGCCGTTGTGACTTCGCTCACTCCAGCTTTTCACCGACTATAAGTAGCTCACCCACCCCGGAGTCCCCTCCCCTTGAAAAATCCCGTTTCCTTGGCTCGCCATACGTTTTTTGCACGTCTCGATCCTTCTCGGCCGCGCCCTCTGTACCATGCACAAGTCCAAGATGTCACACCCTCTCTTCGTCTGCGCCGCTCAATTCGACAGAGTCTCTCAGTGTCTGTAACTGTCGAGTCAACTAGCTAGGGAATACAAGGCAAGTGCGCGATCAGAGATTAACCCTCTACATATCCTCGAGTTTAGGAGGCAACAGAAGGCATCGATCTCGTATGGATAGCGCACTTGCCCATAAACTGAGATATAGGTACGAGTCTGCTTGGGTTAAACACTTCTACCCATAACCAAGCACTCTTGCGATAAGTCTTCAGGTGCCGATTCGACCTTATATGAAATATTGAAACAGTTCCTATAATAGCTTCAAAATAAAACAATTCCCACAATAGATCCAATGAATAATAATGATTTGCTGCAAATTTCAGACATCCTATATTGGAGTTTGTTGGTCTTTACAATATGAACGAGATCAAAATCATGCTCATCGACAACGCCATTACTTTATCATTCGATCGGAGCTTTAGCAGCTATACATCCCAGTCGCTCTATTCCAAACTGACCAACGTTTTCCCATATCGAAACAACACCGGTACCATCAAGCTGGATACGTGGGTTTTTAACTTATCAGATTGCCGAAAAAGAAATATCGCGCTAAAAATTCGAGCTAAAGCACATTCGCGTTCAACAATTGGTATACCACTTCGAACGTTGGTGTACAGTCCTCATCATTGCGAAGCGGTGGGGGGCGTGTCAGTGCGGCTGCGTTTGGCGCGTGCCAAAGTCGTTCTGCACCAGTTGTTGAAGCGGGCAAGTGACATTACTGTATTATATCCTTCGTATTACTCGTTTTCTACCACTTTTTGTCGCATACGCGTTTCAACAAAAGGCTGAGAACGGCTTCAACAGTGTGCACACTTCATACTGGCTGACACGCCCCACCGGTCCGCAATGATGAGGACTATGCGTGTCCCTTTTTCTACCTTAGAAATTAGGGCTCAGCTATTGGAAGTGAGCGGAGCATCTAAGTGTTCAGTGTAGAATGCGCCTTCGAATTGCGTCGATCTGATTGTTTCTGTCCCTTAACACAACCCTTCTACTGCATCTTCTTACATAGATTTCCAGGCTTGAATATTTTTGGTCACATGGCAGTTCCCCTCGTGTTTTCCTTTCCCGTGTTTGTATTATTTTTCTTTTTCTATTTTACTTCGTTGCTTTTTTAAATTCTTTTTTGTTCCCTAAATTTTTTTCTATGACTTCTTTTGTGTGTTTGATTCTAGAATCACTGAGTTCTGTTATTAATCTCCCGCACGGACCGTGGTACTGACCTGGCGCGTCATTGTACGCATAAATAAATAGATAAATAAACGTCACTCACCTTTTTGCTCTGCGAGAAAAAAGTTTTTAAGGATCAAAATGTTCAGGTACCTGGGTATCAAAGGAAAACTGGCCCTACGGCCCGCGTCGCGCACGCGCTGTGTCCCTTAACACACATGGTAGGCTAAAACACATTAGGGTGTATGAGACTATCAGCCCCCCCAGCTGTCCATGTGTCGTGGTCCCCCCGCCCCAGAACTGCACGGGGTCAGAGTACGGGGCCGTGGGAAAGTCGTAAACACCTTGCTTACACCGCCCTCACGTTTATGACACCATCCGCCCGCGGCGCGCGGTCGCGTGCAGCTCTCTTGGCTTTTTGCCAAGTCCTGTAATTGCGCTTTGGAATACAAGTACAACGCAATTTCTTTATGCGGATAACATTTTAGGTGCTGCAAAATAAGAACCGAAGATGATGACGAGGGCTAGAACTCAAGAGCAACTGTGGTGCTTCTGCAATATCCCTCAGAGGCCGCGCATTCCCACAGAACATGACAATAAAAACGGACAACATGACAATAAAACATGACAATACAAGCAAAACGCAATTTCCTAACATTTGAGGTATTGCTCATGCTTCAAAGTCCGAATAGAAGGTGATGAAGATGACAAAGGCTAGAAATGAACAACAACGAATGTAGATGTAAATAAAACAAAATTGAAAAAACTAAGGAAACGCAATAAATTAAAATCGCGTGTGCATTTCTGCGATCCGGCTCGAATCCGGCTCTAATGCTATAGAAATACTTCAAACTAACGAGTGGGACGCTTAGGCCGTTTTTATTTTGATGTTTTGTGGGAATGCGCGGCCTGCGAGGGCTGTTGCAGAAGCAGCACAGTTGCTCTTGAGTTCTAGCCCTCGTCATCATCTTCAGTTCTTATTTTGCAGAACCTAAAATGTTATCCGCATAAAGAAATTGCGTTGTACTTGTATTCCAAAGCGCAATTACAGGACTTGGCAAAAAGCCAAGAGAGCTGCACGCGACCGCGCCGCGCGGACGGTGTTAGTAAAAACGTGAGTTTGCAAAAACGGGCGCAGACTGACCGTCCCCAATCCGTCCGTAGCAAGGAATTACGACTTTCCCAGGTTCCCGTACTCTGACCTCGTGCAGTTTTGGGCGGGGGACCACGACACATCGACAGCTGGGGGGCTGATAGTCTCAATTAACCCCCCAACCTCAACGCCACATGTGTTGAGCACGTACCATGTTGTACTTTAATCAGCTTCACTAGGACCGCTCGCCATGTGCGACATCACCGGTTACAAATTGTAATGCCCCCAAAAGAAATAAGCGTCCTTCCCTAACGACACCAAGCTACGACCCCCCCCCCCTTTTGTGTTCACATAACGATGCTGTACCCTGACTGCGGAAAGCTTCTGGTGCTGATCGAGATACGACGCATATTGTGACTGGCTTATAAGTGGATCCCTGCTGCTCAGCGACCAGGTCCATAACCTCTCAGAATGTACTACTTCGCAACTCGAATACCAGGGGGAGCATCTCTCTCTTTGTGTTCATTCTCGACCAACTGTCGAAGCTAGCGGCTGGTGAAAAACTCATTGGCGCCGGCCAAACCCAGCCCCCTGACACGCTCGAGCGGCCGCAGCGAACAGGACTGTGAATACATATGCCAATGAGTTTCTTCCTATCTACCACGTTTCTGCACGAGATGGAGCAGCGCATTCAACAAACCGCGACGCGACAGCGCGCGGACACTCCAAAAAATTGTTCTGCCTCATGACAAGGAATGGGGACACATTGCAGGCTTTTATAGATTTTCATAATTACCTGAGTAGCTTCGCTGACCAGGAAGAACTTGGCAAACCATCGTGGAACGGTGGAGTACAACTTGAATCGTACAAGTTGCTGCAATGGTTCTTGTGGTGTCACGTGTTGTAGCACGACTCCATGACCAAGAATCCCAAAGTCGAATATCATATGTACGATTCCTGGACCATGCTGAGGAAATCAATATTAGATGCGCAATTACTGGATCACAATTGGCTGTATGTACCATTCATATCTGACTATGAGCACAAAAAGGGGCGTTTGTAGGTACGTAGTTGCGAGGAGCCACAAAGATGGGAGCAGAGACATACACTCTGTATCCAGAAGATGAATTGGTAGTAAATGCGTGCTTAGTGAGCCGCGTGGCAATGGCCTTGGAAAAATTGGTAGTTTCTGCCATCAGAAAGATTCGCTGTTTGCATTCGAAACCCATGACTGCGTTCCTACTTTGCGGCAGCGTGTGTTTGGTTCTTATAAAGATTCTCATTTCACACCTATCATGCCTCTTGGGGAGACTCGCCTGCGGTGTTGCCTGACTTAATTGCTCTCTCACTAACTCCTGACCTCTCGTCTACAGACACAACTGAGGCCCCAAAAGCTGAACATGGGAGTAGCAGAAAAATAAAAGGTAAAGTGGAAATGTCAGAAGAAACAGTTGTCTTCGCAATAAGATTTGAAAAGAACTGCAAAAACACTTATCAAAGCCAGAACTGAAATTGGGCAGGACGTACATACCAGCTGAAATGTACTGCGATCCTAAATCCACGTGAAAAAAGTAGCACGTATTGAAAAAATCGTATTGCTTTCATCATGGAAGGTATCCCGAATGATCTGAACTTCTACTCTCTGTAATTACTTGACGGTTGAATGTGTCTTGCGGCAAGAACTCGCTGCAATTTCAAGGACTTTATTGGTGCCCTCTTCTAGAAGGTTAGATTATCGTGTAGGAATATGACCGAACCACTAGGTTAAACTGTCATAGGCACACATCTCTTTTATCAACTGTCCCCCTAGATTGAAAGGTCGCCGCTAATCAGTAGTTTAAGCGGACTGATCGAGCTGAAGTCTTGTAGCAGATGTCCATTGTGTTGTTGGTGTAAGACGCAGAGTAGAGCACGAAGCGATAGAAACTGACGTCTCTTTTATTCCGGTTTCCCACCAATTCTGATGATTTTCCATGATGGTCTCGCAGCCAGCCGACATGAGGGATACCGAACACAGAAATGCCACAAGGACCAATCACTCCCTTCACCTTTGAGCAGTTTTTCTTTTTTGAACTGTGATGCTGTGTTGTGCTTTCGAAATTGGCGCCATCTCAAATGTGCGAAGCGGAAGCAATACATTGTCGCAAAATGGTCTTAGATTTGTTCTATACACTACCAAATCTAAGCCTAATTTGATGTGATTTCATTTTGAGATTCATTTTTAGCATGCTTTTCTCATCTTGATTGTTTCATGTGATTCAAATTAACTCATATTGTCGTCCTTAGTTTATTTAAAGTCGCTAAACAATTAGGCGGCATAATCATCAGTCCATCATGATTGTAATCGCCAAGTAAGGAAAGCGGTCAGGAGCTAGTGAAGAGCAAATCAAAGTCGACAACACCCGCAGGCGATCCTCCCCGAGAGCATAGATATAGGTGTCCAAGTGAGATTCTTTTTAAGAACAACCTCCACAACACCCACTCTTGCGGCAACGCGTCCACAAGCGACCAATAGCCGTCCACCAGCGTTCCGAGGATCGCAGCGTCCCCTCGCTTAGAAAGTGTAGATATCGATCTAGTGTCTGCCAGCGTCCGCCAACGTCTACTAGCCTCCGGGAGAATACAGTATGACGCGATAGGAGGGTAGCAGACAGCTGTTAGCAGAGCAGGCGCGATGAGGACGTAGAGACAGTGGTAGAGGCCTGGGAGAGGGAGGGGAGGGAGATACGGATATAGTGCAACTGCGTGGGTAAGAAAGTAGTGCTATGAGGAGGGTAGTACTTCCTGCTACCCCTCCATCGGGATACAGATTCTCCTCTCCCCCGGACGGCTGGCCAAACTAATAATCCGATACCTATACTTCCCTACTCTCGAGACGCCGAGTGGCGCAGCCGCAAAGTATAAACGCCAAAGCCTAAGTGACACTCAATCGAAAGTGAGCGTCGACGCAGTCGACGTACACCAGAAGGAGCAGAGATCCTTGGTACCGCTGCCACTAACGACACTAAGTCTGCAATTACGACCCCTCTCACCGTGGGATACAGAATGTAAGTACAAGAGAGGAGAGTCGGCACTGAGAAAGGACACCTTCACCGGAACGCCCCTTTTCGGCCGGTGATACGGACTTTATGTGCTCAAGCAGAACAGGCGTCTCTCTCTGTTCGGACTAACAGCAATACAATATTCACCTGTTCAGCTCTCAGTCTACTGCTTGTTAATGGAATCTTGAAGCCAGCAAAGGTCATGTATTGGTCGAGATGCATCACTGAGAGGTGAGTGTCCTCGCCAGTTTGCGGTGCCCATTTACCGTCCCAAATGTGACGAATCACCGGATTAGTATTGTCGAGATCAATGTTGAAAAGGTTGTTTCCTGTAACAGACAGCAGTAATGAAGTGATGAGGAGCGCCATTGCAATGGCGGCGCTACGTAGCGCGTCGACGCGCGTTATCGCAGTCTGAACGCTGCGTTAGAGGGGTGAAGCAATAGTGAACCACATATAACGGGGAATAAGTAGAAAGCGACAATTCTTTGGCTTCTCGCCATCACTTGTGAGCTGAACGATTGACCCCGGCAAAGAAATTTCGAAATTTCAAAGCGCCAACCTCTGTTTGGTCCAGTCAAGTGCAAATAGTTCAGATGTGCTATATCGGCACCATTTTCGGGAATTTCCTGACAATGGCACATGATTTCATGTTCAGTACGTCCACCGTAGGTCCATTCACCGTTCGTTATCTCATCGATTTCTGGTATATCCCATTCGGGTTCATTTCCATCACAATGGTACCTGAGACCTGGGTAGCATTACAGTTACTGGTTTTCCGGTAAGTCAGACGCTATAGCTCTCACCATACATAGATGTGCTGATTCCTTTCCAGGACTGGCCACACAGCAACCTGAACGTTTTATATTATTTTTCATTTAGCTGTTCGGAATGCGCAGTCAAAGGTGGATTCCACGATAGCCAGGTGGGCGGGGAAATGGGCGGAGATACTTCCTAGTACACTCAAGACCAGGGGCACCAACGTTGGAGACGGAATTGCCAGCCTTCGCCAATCGGTCATCGGACTGTGCCCTTATTCAGAAATGGAGGATGCGCGCGGACGCGTAGCGGCAGCGAGCAGTGCGATTAAGGCTACGTCATACTTTGCGACTAGGCGTTTTGAGAAAATCAGCATCTTAGGCGAACCGACGTTTTGAGCACCGATCAATACCCATACTATATCTTTCGCTTGAAGCATTGAATCTCCCCTCTAAAAGCGCTACATCGATCCCTACATTTTCTTTTTTTGCTCAAAACGCCGAGTCGCAAAGTATGAACCCAATCTTAGCGCATGTGGCCTAATGACGAACGTAGTGCTCAATAGCTATCAACGGTCTTGCAAATCGTATATATGAAAATGGGACCAGTGAAAGGGAAATATCCCGAAAATGACAAATGCTACCTTTGCTTGTTCGGGAATCGTCCCATTGTCATACGGTATTCGTGTACATTTGCCTGTTTCTCCGGAAAACACCCATCCGTGAAAGGGGCATTGCACACAGTTATCGTCAACCACCTGTAAAGTCACTACCGTTTTCGTTACTTTGTTTTTGTTTCTCCTGATTTTTATTTATTTTTCCATTCAGCCAGATTTGATTTCGAGTTTTAGCGAGGAAAAGTAATACAAGGCACTGGCCCTCACCTTTCCACCAACGTTGAAATTGGCACCCAGATGTGGACAGTATGAGTCGATTAGATGCACTTGGCCACTCTCAGATCTTATGAGCGTCAGAAATTGGCCTGAAACAAATCTGATCCACAAAGGAAGGAGGATGACTCTAATATGGTCAGGCAAACGTTTTAAATGTAAGTAGATGGATTTCCTGGGACAGGCTCTTGGTGTGGGTCAATAGGTCCCAGATGCGGCAACATGCGCCCGCTTTCTAGCTAATTAACTCGCCTAGATGAAGTGATTTTGTTTCAAAACAACGAGGTTCTACTGCGAAGACCGAATCGCGACGTAATAGCAACGACAATAACGCCTCCCGTCACGTCGTCGCAACTCGGACATCCTGACCCGCACACGCTGTTCCAGAGTGCAGGGACTTCGACACTGCGAATTTTTGGGTCAAATAAACTCCACCCTTTTCAAGCTCTCGACAGTTTGGAAAAGACCTCGATCTGACTGATTTGGTTCATCTTGCCTTTGTGTAATGGTAACTTATTGAAGAAAAAGACCACGCTGGTCGGTGTAAGGTCCACAATTGTTCCTCTCATTGGTGTAAGCCTCCTTTTTATCAACGTGGGAGTAGTGAGAGGCAAACTAATGAAGACGGCAGTGAGATTCACTGTCTCCGCCCATACGAATAACATGGAGCGGACTTCTACATCTATGAAAGTGTATCTGTCAGACAACACAATTGGCTTATTTCCAAGATTTACTCCTCTTGTTCTTGGGCTACAGTACCTCATACTTACCGAATATCGTCACTTCTCTAACAGCCTTTTGGTTTCAGCTCATCTGACTCAGCAATACAGTACCATCCATTTGGATAAACCGGTGGCAATTCGCCAATACGTCGTAGCTTAGCGAGTCTAGTGATTTGTCGTTCGCGGTACACACCTTTCAACTAAATTGTATCTTATCTTTGACAGGCGAAAAAACCATAATGGTGTCAAAATAGTAAAATATTAATATGCAATAGTATGTCATAAAATATTTATGAATTACACTGACATTTCTATTAGATTCGAGTGGCTGCTCATTTCCCTCCTTTTTTAGCACTACAAAGGTAAAAAAACGGAACTTTTGGTACTGCTCATTCCGCTCTTGGGATGCACCAACAATGTAGTTAATTTCAAAAGGCTAATTTTCAATGATTTGCGGAGGCCGCTGCGATGGATGGCTCAAAGTCTCTACCTTCCCATAGTTGTCTAATAAAAACTAGTCGAAGCCGGAAAGGCTTGATCGATCTAGGCAGGACTGGATCCTCAGAATGTGTTATACGACGCCATTTGCGGCTACACGACAGTACTTATCGGAGAGTAGGGTGGAAGCCTCTTTCCTTACATACGTTTCACCGCAACGGCAGTCTATTTCCATCAATGGCTGCGCGCCCCAGCAGTGGCAACGGTGGGTGGAAACGAGCTGGGGCCGCCAAGACGTACGTCCAGCTTCGTTCACCGAGGCTGGGCACGTTAAGGATGGATGTGTTTAGCACGGCGCCATCCCGTTTTTTCTTTTCTTTTTCGTTTACCAAGCAACAATAATGTATCACATCGTTCGCCAGTCGCCTTTCACCAGTTATTGTAGCTTGCTCGCCCAATGACTGGTGCTGAACAGGCGCGCCAAACCCACTCTTAGCGACACGCCTCTTCATCCGCAGCGAACAAGACTGTACACAGTAACGTCCCCACATAATGCACCGACAGCGGATAAACGTTCGTTTATCTGCCGATTAGTCCTGTTTTGCCCTTATAATATAGGACAAAAGTTAAAACCGTTGCGAGTACTAGACCTGGTTTCTGATTCCTAGCTTCCAAACTTCCTACTCCACTAAACTTCTTTAGTTGCGATAATTGTTATTGATTATGCACCTCAATCAGAAGTTCGAAGAAGGAGCTATTATTTATAGACCACCCCGATTACAATGAGCTTTGCGGTCACGAACGTCAAAGCACTCACCTCCGGATCACCAAGAAGAAGTCCCAGATCACCAAGTTTCCGAATACGATTACATGGTCGGAGCGCATAGTAAATAAGGTAAATAAATAGAGTAGTCACCGCTACTGAGATCAATATAATGGTCATCTGAAACGAATAGAATAAAGAGCACTGCTCGATAGGTGAGTGGGCGTAGAGAATGATGAAATCTCATCCACGGTGTCTCCCATGCTGCACCCTCCCGTATAACAAAACAGAAATTAATAGGTCAAAAACGATGGTACTACAAATGGCTGCCTCCACCCATTTCCCCGACCAACCGATGCCTACAAATGGCGACTACATAATGTACAGCTGATTTCAGGTAAACCTACGGGTCAGGAGGTGTGGTATGGGTCAGCCCTCGGCTACATTTTCCACCAATGATGAGAGGTTCAGATACAAAACAACTAGCCACTATTGGTAGAAAACGCTGTAGTGGGCGAGTTCATTCCACGCCTCCTGACATCTGATTGCCCCACCGAACTGCGACGGTATCATTAAGATATCCGGGGTTTCTTGGACATTGTCCTAATTACTGTTTTTCCAACCATACAGTACAGAAATTCACATCCAAAAATACGTACGAAATAAAAACCGAATAGAAAAGCGAGTG